AATTAATAGAATTTACATATAGAAGTAACTATTTCGAAACCAACGAAGAATACTATACTCAGACAGATGGGATAAGTATGGGATCCGTAATCGGCCCGAAACTTGCCGAATTAATTATGATAGACATCGATAATATAATATGTAACATACCAGGAATAAAATTCTACAAAAGATACGTTGACGACATCCTAATAATATATGACGAAACAGAAATTCAGATAGAAGAAATTAATAAGCAGACAAATAGTATACATAAAGCAATAAAATTTAAAATAAAAACCGAAGATATGGCAAGAAAAAACATTAACTACCCAGATATTACAATAACAAGATTAAAACATCATCTCAAATATAGAACATTCAAGAAACCGAGCTCTAACCAAGTAACAACAAGATATTAATCAAAAATTCCGCCATACATTAAATATAATATATATAAAATAGAATATGACAAAATCATAAACCGGATAAGCCAAGAAGCACATATAAACGAAAATCTAATGGAATCAAGAAAAAAGTTTCTTCTTGCAGGATTTCCGCAGAGATTGCTAAAACAATGGGAAATCAGACTTAATGACCCAAGAAACCTACGAAAAAATAAAAATAAACAAGCAACTAAAACAAAATATATTAACTTTCCATATATTAAAGGTTTATATAAACAAATCAGCCAGAAATAGAAAAAATAAACTACAAATTAGCACTATCATATCAAAAAATGGAAAGCAGACTGTTAACCTCAAACCAGAAAAAAAACCAGCAAATACCGACCGAAAACCAAGGTGTAGTATATAAAATTCCGTGTACTTGAGCAAACAAATAACATTACATAGGAGAAACAAAAAAAAAAACTGAAAACTAGACTGAAAGAACACATAGCGGACCTAAAATATAATAGAATAAATTCTGCATTTTACGAACATTGTACTATAAACAACTGTAATATAGATGAAAATAACGTAGAAATACTGCATAAAGAAAAATTAACATACAACAGGAAGTTTAAAAAAAACCATAGAAATCATGAAAAGTAAAGACAGTATAAACAAAAACTTAAGTCTTAAAATAAACGAAAACTGCATTAATATATTACAAATAATTTTCTTTTTTCTGTGAAAAGCAATTTCTCCTAGAAATGATTTTTCCAAGACAGATTTTGGTAAAAACCAAACCACAAGGTGGCGAACGTGGCAACACTTAAGATACCAGCGCATAAGAAAAAATAAAAAGGGGGTAGAAGGTAAAAAAGGGACGGAAACAGCTAAAAAATTTTTACAGTTGTGTTATATCAAAATATTCCTAAAAGAGAAGATTTTACCCTTTTAATTTGTAATATATACTAGTTTATTTACAAATGACTAAAGCAGATTTTACATGTTTTTACATTATACAAAGTGTAACTAAAAGGTACTGTATGTCTATATATCTTTTACGTACTCATTGTTTTATGTAAATTCTCTACTGTAATAAGTTAAAATATATATATTGTATTTTAGTTGACTGAAGAGGGGCAAAACCCGAAACGAGTACAAAACAATGTATTGTATCGACTCAACTAAAAAAGTTTAGCGATGGAGCTAAAGTCCGTCTAGGCGTTTCGATAGAATAGGTCCGAATTTGATCCTACCTCGGTGATTGTAGTTTCGATCTTGCCCGCGTGTTCCACGTCCTTTGTTCGTCAGACAAGATTAACGAGGAGACTGATTCCTTGGAAATACCATATTTTATTTCCCCGCGACTACAGAATATTTACAGAGGTCTAAGTTAAATTACTGTACAAATGTGCGTTCGTTGTCAAGCTGACTCCGAAAGGTTGGCGTAACAGAAGCGAAGGTCGGCGTACGGAAATGTCTCTCCAGATCGGTGTTTGAGGACCAAGTGAGGTCAGAGGGGAAAGGTCAAGCGGTAGCGCCCTCTGCCCTACACACTCCTCCCCTAGCGGTCCAGCGTATCGTATCCAGGAAGCGAACGGGTAATCGGATGACGCGTCCTGATGACGTTTGTCTTCCTCTTGTCTTGTTGGGTGATGTTGGGTGTTGGCTGGCGGATGGGGTCGACGTGCTTGTATGGTTTGTTCCAGTAGCGGCATCTTCGTTTAGAAGGAATGCGGGTTTTAATCTGTCTATCGATACTCTTTTAGGAGAGCCCGCGACGTCTATATCGAAAAACCTTTCGAAGCGACGACGTACGCGGTAGGGACCAAGATAGGCCGGACGAAGTGAAGGATGTGCTGCTGGGTTGAGTACAAAGACATGCGAACAGTCTGTTAGTCGTTTCGAGACGAAGGTCGTTCGTTTCCCATGTCGAGATGTTGGGGACGGTCTTAACGTACGAAGGAATTGTTGCAGCTGTCGCATGAACTCTGTCTTCTCCATCGCCGGAGAATCCACCAGAAGTTCGCCTGGTACTCGTAAAGGAGCGCCGTACAGCAGTTCAGCTGGGGATGTTCCAATGTCTTCTTTGATGGCCGAGCGTAGGCCTAGGAGGACGAGAGACAAAGCTGCGGTCCATGGGGTCGCCTGTTGCAGGTGTGCTGAAAGGGCTGCTTTTAGAGTGCGATGTTGTCTCTCGATTAACCCGTTAGCTTGGGGGTGGTAGGCCGTGGTATGACTGATTTGAAAGCCTAAGTAGTTGCTTAGCGATCTGAACAACTGGCTTTCAAATTGTCTACCCTGGTCTGTTGTGATTTTTGTAGGAACGCCGAAGCGTGCAAACCATGTGTCGATTAGTGCCTTGGCGACTGTGTCCGCTGTCTGGTCTGGTAAAGGCGTTGCTTCCACCCACCTCGAAAATCGGTCGACAGCGGTAAGAAGGTACCTCGATCCTTCTGAGAGTGGTAGCGGGCCGACTATGTCGACGTTGATGTGTTCGAATCGTGAATTCGGGACGAGGAACTTCGCCAGAGGTGCACGTGTATGTCGGTGGATTTTCGCCTTTTGGCAGGCCATGCAAGATCGTGCCCATGTCTGGCAGTCTTTGTTCATGTTTGGCCAGATGTACCTCTGAGTGACCAGTTTGACTGTCGCACGGGCTCCTGGGTGTGATAAGTTGTGGGTGGCCGAAAATACTTCTCGTCGGAAAGAGGGAGGTATGTAAGGTCTACAGTGACCGGTAGAGATGTCGCAGAACAGGGATTTTGTTGAACTTGGGAGGTGCATAGTTACTATTTTGAAATTTGGGTTTTGTTGCAATTCTGATAGTTCATCATCCTGTTGTGCATCTGCGATGGCGTCGTAGTTAATGGATGGTGCGCCAATGGTGTTTATGCGGGACAGGGAGTCTGCAACGACGTTGTCCCTGCCGGATATATGCTGTAAGTCGGTTGAAAACTGCGATATATAGTCCAATTGGCGGAGTTGACGAGGCGACGCTTTGGCCAAATCTTGGAGGAAGGCGAACGTAAGGGGTTTGTGATCAGTATAGATAACGAATGGCCTCCCCTCCACTAGGTGCCGAAAATGCTTGATGGCGGAGTAGATGGCTAGCAGTTCTCGGTCGTATGCGCTGTACTTTATTTGAGACTTGGTGAGGGTCCTGGAGAAGAAACTAAGGGGTTGTTTAACGCCGTCGAGCTCTTGATGTAAGACGGCTCCAATGCTAACGTCTGAAGCGTCTGTGGTTAAGGAAAGTTTGGCATCCGGTGCTGGGTGGGTGAGGAGGGAGGCTCTGCTTAAGGCGTCCTTCATGTTGTTGAAGGCGCTATTTGCTTTTTCCGACCAGATGAGGGGTTTGGTGCTGTTTTTGGTATGGCCACATAACATGGCGTTGAGAGGAACCTGCAACGTGGCACATCCTGGGATGAACCTATGATAAAAGTTTATCATTCTGAGGAACCGTCGTAGTGCCGTAGCTGTCTCTGGTCGCGGGAAATTTTGGATGCATTCCACTTTCGCTTGGAGTGGCCGTAGGCCTTCTGGCGTTATCCTGTAGCCCAGAAATTCTATAGACGTGGCGCCGAAAGTACACTTAGCGGGGTTAATACATAACCCGTACTCGTTTAACCTGCTGAAGAGGGTGCGAAGGTGTCGTTGATGCATTTCTTGGTCCGGAGAAGCAACAAGAATGTCGTCCAGGTAACAGAAAACGAAGTCGAGGCCAGTGAGCACCATATTCATAAACCGCTGAAAGGTTTGGGCTGCGTTTCGTAGTCCGAAAGTCATAAAAGGATTCGAACAGGCCAAATGGAGTAATGATAGCGGTTTTAGGAATGTCGGGTTCGTGCACGGGTATCTGCTGTTAAGCGCGTACCAGGTCTATTGATGAAAAAATCTTCATATTATGTAGGATGTGGTTGCAGTCAGTGAGGAATGGAATTGGGTATCTATCCGGAATGGTGATGCTGTTGAGCGCTCTGTAGTCCCCACACGGTTTCCAATCTCCCGACCTTTTCTGTGTCAAGTGTAGCGGACTGGCCCAGCTGCTTTTTGAAGGCCGGCATAGGCCCTGTTGGAGCATAAATTCGAACTCCTTACGGGCTGCCTTTAGTTTCTCTGCCGAAAGTCTCCGTGGTCTGGCGAACACAGGTGGGCCCTTGGTTTCGATGAAGTGTACGATGTTGTGTTCCTTGATCTTGGTGTTGGTAATTGATGGCCGCACTAAGTCTGGATACTCGGCAAGGATTTTTTGGTAAATAGAGACGTCTTCCGGTATTTGGATTCGGGATGTGTCATAGGGAAGGAATTTGGCATTCGTGTGAAGATACAGATACAGATACAGATATTTATTGATCAATATGCCATATGGCATATTCCGGTGCCACTAAGTATTACCGGGTATATACAGGAAATTACATAGTTTACACTGAAGATTTCGATAACTAATTATTAACGTAAATAAAATTAATTAACGCGTGTACAATTATATATATAGGGTTATACATAATTGTGAAGATTCGTAATTCCGTCAATGAACCGATGGCGGCTGCTGTCGACTAGCAGGTTGAAGTGAGATAAAAAATCCACACCAATGATTGGCCGCTGGACGTCGGCTATGACGAATATTCACGGAAAACTTCGCAATCCCAGATCTAGGTTAAGTAATTTTCGGCCATAAGTCTTTATTGTCGACCCGTTGGCTGCAAAAAGCTCGAGTTTGTTGCAGTTGCGCCTTTCGTGGGGTGCTGGAGGTATAACAGAAATGTTCGCTCCCGTGTCCACGAGGTACAGAGTTGCTGTATCCTTGTCACTTATATAAAGGCGACTCAGCTCAATCCCCGTTGTCCCTGTCGCCAAAGAGAGACGGGGAATTAGTTTTCCGCTTCCTCGACTGCAACCTTTTGATCTTGGAAGTTGCACGGTTGGCGACATTTGGAGGTAGTAGCAGATATTGCTGTTAGCGGCTCGTCGACTGCGTGATCTCTCTCTTGATCTGGGTCGGATGTTTCTTTGTCTCATGCGTGGGTATATCCGCTCGTTAAGTGCGGCTACCTGCAGTGACAGTTCTGATATTTGCTTTTGAAGGGTGTCCAAGGCAGGGAGCGGCTCCCTACAGTGTGCGCTCCCCGATGCTACGGGAGCAAGCTGTACTGTCGTTGGTCCAGAGCTGAGTTCCCAGATCTGGTCGGCCATAGCAGCTAATTTTGATAGTTCATCGCTACTAACCGATAGGATGCTCCGCATGTTGATCGGTAGGCGTTGGAGCCACAGTGTCTTCAAAAATTCTCGCCGATTTTTTCGTCAGCCAGGTTACGCATTTCGCAGAGTAGTTGGGAGGGTTTGCGGTCGCCGAGTTCCATTTCAGTCAGTAGTTTTTTGGTGCGCTGGGTCTCACTGTCTGCGAAAGCGGAGATCAACCGTTCTTTGATAAGTTCGTATTTCCCCCAACCAAGGGGACTGAGTAAAATGTCCGAAACTTGCGTGAGAATTTCCGCGTCGATGTAACTGACGACGGTATCGAATTTTGTTTGATCCGACGATATTCCGGCGTTTCGAAATTGGGCCTCGAACTGAAGGAACCAAATGCAGGGGTCCGGCTTCCAAAATGGCGGCACCTTGACGGCGACACGTGCTAGGCACATGTCGGTCCTTTGTTCGGGGTTAGGCTTAGCGGTTCTCTCGTCCATTTTCGTCTTTGAGTATCCTTTATTTGAATCACGTCCGGCTCACCAGTTTAGCGATTGAGCTAAAGTCCGTCTAGGCGTTTCGATAGAATAGGTCCGAATTTGATCCTACCTCGGTGATTGTAGTTTCGATCTTGCCCGCGTGTTCCACGTCCTTTGTTCGTCAGACAAGATTAACGAGGAGACTGATTCCTTGGAAATACCATATTTTATTTCCCCGCGACTACAGAATATTTACAGAGGTCTAAGTTAAATTACTGTACAAATGTGCGTTCGTCGTCAAGCTGACTCCGAAAGGTTGGCGTAACAAAAGCGAAGGTCGGCGTACGGAAGTGTCTCTCCAGATCGGTGTCCGAGGACCAAGTGAGGTCAGAGGGGAAAGGTCAAGCGGTGGCGCCCTCTGCCTTACAAAAGGAATCTGATGGAAAACTTGCCATGTGTCTTTGGAATAAAACACAATACTACGCCACAAATATAAAACAGGACACAGTTTCAAAAAACACATTAACAAGAACCTAAGAATAGAAATTTATAAAAACTGGATGCAACTATTAATTTAAAATAGAAAATCTCAAGAAGAATATTTATACAGTTGTAGGCGTGGCTGTATTTAGCATTCTGGGAGAAATGTTGCGCGTTGCCAGACAAATGGGCGAAGTAGTCAAGTTACCAGAAAGGGGAAGGTAGATAAGAAGACGTAGTGCGGAAGGTGCGGACAGATGTTCACCAGATACAACCTATCTACGAGGAAAACACCAAAAATGAACTAGATGTATACAATAAATGTAACCCTGTAACGGGGGATTCGATCGTCACATGTACGTTATCCAGGTTTTTTCTAATTATCATATAATTAGAAAAACCTACCATTAAAAACATTATGTATTATGAGAAACTCATACATATGTTTATTATGTAACAGACTAAAGAGGGCCAAATGCCCGAAACGCGTCTCTATAAGTGAAGGTTATGGATTAAAAAGTTGATGATAAATTATTTGCCAAGTGTCTATAAATTCAACAAGTGGTGATATTGAGCCAAGCAAAGCAAGAAAGAGAAGACACCGTTTCGACGAAACAAATAAAACGTTTTATTTATTTAATTACATTACATAATAATGCAAATTATACATTTAAGTGATAATGATTTAAATCGTTAATAAAAATCGTTTAAAAATTAGTGACCACTAGATGGCCGAACGATTAAGACAGCAGCCTGCCTATATGAGGCACCCGTAACGAATTTGATGGGGTCAAAAAGATTCGGAAATTTTTCGGGGATGGTCTGTTATTACAGTCAACGTTCCTAGTCAACCGTCTCTATGTTATGGTCTTGACAAAGTTCAAAATCGACTTGCTAATATGAGTGTGCACGGAGAGTAAGAAGTTATAAATTATGAAAATGAAATATCTGCAGTCCACACACCGCATTACTTATGCAATTGAATTTTGGGAAAAAATTATTCTTAAAACTTTACTTATTGATTACGGGTTTGCGGCTGACAAACCGGCTGGTTGCGTGAAATTTTCTGTCAGTTTCCATAAGATAACAACACTGGTATTCTTTGAATGACCGAAACTGTGGAATTAACGTTGAACACATCGTCAATGTCTGCTCAATGCGAAATTTTATACGTGGGTCGTGATTTGAATGTAGCCTAAATCAAAATAATTCAAATGAAAACACAGCATTTTTTTTACTTTTATAGAAACAGAACGGTAACAGAAGCAGTTGCGATTTTTTTACCTCGATTAATGACTATTATAGTATATTAACAGTTAATTAAAACGAAAAATAATAATCAACTTTAAAAATAATTCAAGTACGAGATACCACTTATTAAAATAAGCTTGTTCGAAGCTCTGCAGTCAGAGTTGAATCTTTGTTTATAGAACTTTGTGAAGTGTTATTTCGGTTTCTCTTAGGATTGATGAAACTTTATATATTCAATATATATGTACATATATATGTATATAACTAAACAGAAATATATATAAAAATATATTTTTTACTTTTACATTACAAATTATGATTTATAAAAGGTACAAAGTGTAAATGTAGAAAATTACGTCCAGGAAAATCGCGACTTTAAATGCATCGATGAATTACTACCATTATTCGAATTGTTATTAGAATTATTATGTTAACATTGCAATAATTCAGTCATGGAGGAGAAATACTTCGGCAATAGGTCTAGGGATGAGGAGATGAAAAGGGTCGTGTGTATCTCCGGTAGCACATGACCTAATGACAATTTTACTCGTTACTAGCAACTACACGTTTTCATAAAACCCAACCCTACCCTTAAAATTAATATTTTTGCCATTTTTTTAATATTTAGAAACCTTTTATACTTTTGACTAAAATGTGATAACAGATGGCGCCACCAAAAGTTGCAGGAATAGTTGAACAACTTTTTCCCTTGAAACTTTTTAATTAAAATTTGAACGAATCATACATATACACTAAAAGCTCATTTTTTACTTAATTTAAGTCAGCGTAAAGCATAGAAAAACATACAAAAAGTTTAAAACTGTTTAATTACATTAGCGAGGTTGATTAACGTTTACATCGCAAAAACGTGTACGTCGGACTTCGGCGTCGCATTCCCCTAAGCCTAGAAGTTTGACAATGGCGTTTCGAACGTCGAGCATGATTTCTTCTCTATCCTAACGCCATTGTCAAACTTCTGGGCTTGCAGGAAAGCGGAGCCGAAGTCCGACATCCGATTACCTGCGATATTTCCCGGAATTCGGGTAAATAATATTTTATCCTTTCACTTTTGAAAATATGATAATTAACGTAAGCAATGCAATGAGATCTATCTCGATTAGACCGCTCCCTGTTGGACAGATTTGGACGATTTAATTTATACTTTCCGAAATAAAAACATTTTCGGTAACAACAATTATTTAAACAGTTAATATCAAGCTAATGGCCGTTGCTTCATAAAAGACACGTCATCGTGAATGATTTATAGAAACTAGTAGTTGAGCCCGGCGTTACTCGGGAAAAATTAACAACGATCATTGAGACTATAAGATTCTTTCGTATTACTAACCCTTCTATTATATTATATTACAGTATTTAATTTATTTAACTACAATGGTTATCTTACGAATAGACTTAAGACATTGAGTGCTTAATGTCATGCATTCGAAAAGTTTTTTAAAATTGTGCACAGTTCACGAAAAAGAATTATCAATTGTGTTAGATCGGTTACTTGATATCATAAACCCTTACGTAAAATAACGTTTGTAGTTACATAAATCAAATATTATAATGTAATAAATATTAAAATGGAAACCATACAAAGAGTTCTGTTATTTCAGTGTACCAATGTACAAATTGGCACAAATTTAATGGTCAACTGGACAAGAGTTAAAAATATGATATCATAATTTTTTCTAATGTTTCTTGTAAGAAACTGTTCTATTCACAGACGAATATGGAATAGTAACCTGCCAATCAATCTAACTTCACAAAACACTTTACGAATATTTAAACTTGGCACGCTGGAAAACCATTTAATTTATATTTTGTAAAGGCCGGTTATCTCGTATTATGTAATTTTCTTATTCGAATGCAACCATACCGCTGGTCCGATAAAAAAAAAAGGAATTGGAGCGAAATGGGGTCGAAGTTAATTGGACTAAAAGTAGTCATTGACCTTCTCCTGGAAGAGAAGACCTTAACGTCCGAAAGGCTTTGTGTTTAAATAAAACACGATATTGTAAAAATGCTTGCGTGTCTTAATACAGTGTTTACATTTTGGCAAAAAATTGTATAAACTCCATGGGAAGTATATTTTCATAAATATCGCGTTTGTAATTAAATTATTGGGCTGCAATTTAAAAAAAATTTTTAGAGCTCTTTTTGTTTCAGTAGTTGGTAGTTCATATAGAGTCTTATGGCTTTACATAGTGACACCCGAGTGACATGCCAAGGAGGATGCATTCCAGGAAGACTTTTATGGGAAGCTGGATCCTATTTAAGTGGAAAAAAGCTGAGAAACGCTACGTGGCCAGCCGATTGTCTTTGCCGAAATCCACGACTAACTACCAGTGTTGGGTAATGTGTTACAGTAGTTAAGTGAATATTATATATTTTAAAATTATAATATTTTATTGATAAGAATTATATTTAATTTCTATTTTGTTACATTAAATTTCTGTCAGTGGATGGTGTAAATCAGCATTACTTATGTATATAAAAATTAATTGATTTACAGAAATTCAATATATATTTTGGAGTAGATGTACGATATCATTATTATCATGTTGTGTCAGGATACAAAGGTTATGAGCCATTCGAGTATGAACATCTTGCTTGTATAATTCGTGCTTTGCCTCTCTCGGCAAGTGCAAAATTGCTCATCATAACAATCTATTACAGTAGACACCTCTATAACGCACGTTCCAATAACGTATAATCCTATGACGCGGCGAAAAAATTGCCTCAGTATTCGTACAAAGACGCTAAAAGGGACGCGTAAAACGTCATAGCGGACGAGCAGCCGAACTATTTTCCGCCGTTCAGCGCCACGCTACGGAGAGTTTAAGAGGGTAAGTTGAGTTTAATTATCGCCTGTACAGTATTATATATAAATTAGGCACTGTACATATAATTATATATTAACTTAATTTATTGTAACTTTATTATAATTATATATATATTTTCTGCTGTCTAGCACCACGCTACGGAGAGTTTAGGCGGGTAAGTTGAGTTTAACTATTGTCTGTACAGTATTATATATAAATTAG